ACACTGTGGGGAACACATCATTCAACTAACTTTTTGTTTCACTCAGTAATATTTGAAAACACCTATAGAGACCAAAGGAGGAAGTACAATTGTACTCATTTGTGAAATAACACTCTGTGCGATGCATCATTCAGTTACCAGGTTGTTTCACTAAGTTGATAATGTTTGCAAACATATATGTGGATGCATAAGCTAAGTGTTATATACTCAGCTAAGTGCATGAACACGGTGGGGTAAGCATCAGGCCCATACGTCTCATTTCACTATGTTTGTAGTGTTAGAATACAGTGGCAGAGACCAATGAGGGAAATGCAGTGTAATCAACTCCGTGAAACAACTGTACAGAATGCAGCATTTCGTTACCAGGTTGGTTCACTAAGTTGGTAAATTTTGAAAACACATGCATGGGACTATAAGCCTTAGTGGTATGTACTCAATTCTGTGAAAGAAATTGGTGGTGAACGCCTCATACAACTAACTTCATGATTCACTATGATAATTTTGTTAGAACACAGATGTGGAGACCAATGATGGAAGTGCACTGTGCTCAACTCTGAGAAACAACACTGTGCGGAATGCAGCATTCAGTTACCAGGTTGTTTCACTATGTTGGCAATGTTTGAAAACATATGCATGGAAGTAAAAGTTAAGAGTTGTATACAGCAATAAATAAAAAAGAATTGAGATCATACCATGCACACTTTCATATCACAATGCTATGAAACTCGAAATTAATCACAGGAAGAAGTCTGGAAAACCCCCAAAAACATGGAAGCTAAAGAACACCCTACTAAAAAACGAATGGGCCAATTAGGCAATTAGAGAAGAAATTAAAAAATATATGGAAACAAATGAAAATGAAAATACAACAATCCAAAATCTATGGGATGTGGTGAAAGCAGTCGGAAGAGGAAAGTACATTGCACTCCAGGCCTATTTCAAGAAATGAGAAAAAGCAAAAGTGCAAAATCTAACAGCGCACCTAAAGCAACTAGAGGGAGAGCAACAAGAGCACCCCAAACCCAGTAGAAGAAGAGGAATAAATAAAATCAGGGCAGATATAAACAGTATAGAAAGCAAAGAAACAGTTGAACAGATCAATGAAACCAAGAATTGGCTTTATGAAAAAATAAACAAAATTGACAAACCTCTAGCCAGGCTTCTCAAAAAGAAAAGAGAGAGCACTCAAATAGACAAAATCATCAATGAATTAAAAAAAAAATCATCAGTGAAAATGGACTGATTACAATCAACCCCTCAGGAATAAAAGCAATTATCAGGGAATATTATGAAAAACTATATACCAACAAATTGGACAACTTAGAAGAAATGGACAAATTCCAAAATACACATTCACTACCAAAATTCACACCAAAAGAGATAGAAAACCTGAACAAACCCATAACAAGTGAGGAAATCGAATTGGTTATCAAAAATCTCCCAACAAATAAGAGCCCTGGGCCAGATGGCTTCCCTGGGGAATTCTACCAGACATTTAAAACAGTTAATACCTATTCTTCTCAAACTATTCCAAAAAATAGAAATCGAAGGAAAACTTCCAGACTCATTTTATGAAGCCAGCATCACTTTGATTCCCAAGCCAGACAAAGACCCAGCATAAAAGGAGAACTACAGGCCAATAGCCTTGATGAATACATATGCAAAAATCCTCAACAAGATACTTGCAAATCGAATCCAACAGCACATAAAAAGAATTATCCACCAAGATCAAGTGGGATTCATTCC